CCTGGACTTCTCTAAGACATCATTATACCCAGACTGCCATTATGTATGAAAAACAGCTGAAGCCATTTAGCAAAGCTTTGCACGAAGGACAGGATGAGTGGAATAGTGAGTATGAGTGACACTGGTTTCTGTTTAGCCTTTTAACTCTCCCACTACCCATTTCCTTTGTAGGGAGATGAGGCAGCTGCTGTTCTGATAGCTGCGCATGGTATGTGAACATGACTATGTGAACTTGTATAGTGCAGTGTAAGACAAGGAAATAGAGGGAAACAATCTGCCAGCCAAACGTCACTGCATGTTTGTGTGCATGTACCCCTGCAGAATATAACCTTCTGCACAAACCCACACTCCCTCTTTGTGGAGCAGAAACTGAAACATACAACATCATCTTGTGTCAAAGACAGGAGCACATCTCCTTCCTTAGAAGAGAGCTACTTCTGGCAGATTTTGCTTTTTTATTTGCTTTGCCTATTGGATCAGAGGATGAATCCTCAGATACAAAGACTGGGTGTCAGATAATTCCTCTGATCACATCAGGTGCTCCTGCATCAGATTCTTTGCAGCTCTAGTTTCCAAGGGGGTGCAAGGCAGAAATAACATTTCTCTGAGTGTTTCTCTAAGAGAATTGGTACAGAAGGAAAACTTCTCAGACTCAAGGAATTCATTGGAATGACCCAGATTTTAAATGTGCTTAAAAATCTCTGTGCCACTGTCTAGTAATTCCAGCACAAATCTGTCTTGGCCTTCTCCCCCAACCAGTTCACTGGAAACTAGTAGGACAAGTGTAGCTGAGGTAAGGTGTTAACTTGAAAGATGGAAGACAAATAGTAGTTTCCAACTTTGAAAAGATACTGCAGTTATAGTATCTTCTTCAAGTAGGAGGTTTTATAATGTCTGATGATATGTTTGTTACTCTCTATCCCAGAGACCATCGGTACTCCACAGAATAACATAACAGTGCCACTGCTGATGCCTCTCATTACCTTGATGGAGCGACAAGCTGTTGTTTTTGAAGGCACAGACCTGTGGGAAAGCAGTGACCAAAGCTGCGAAATAATGCTCAAGCACTTGGCCACAGCTCGTCGGATAGCACAGAACGCAGAAGCGTACAGCTTGGCTGCTGAACAGATGCTGGAAGGTATGGAGCACTAGTAGGAGAAGCTGCTGCACATAACAGAATGAGTGGGTTATGTCTGAAAAATAAGATCTCCAGCTAAGTACCACTAAAAGTCAGTGCATGAACTTCTCCTTCATGGGAGCTGAGCTAGTAGCAAATGTCCTGCAGAAAACTCAGTCTGAGGACAACATCAATATTGTTTAAAAGTAGACAGTAAAATATTAATGACTGTTGTTCTCCAGTAAGCAATAAAACACATTTTTGCAAGACATACTTGAAGTTCTCATGACTTAATATGCTGACCTTTCTAGCAACTGAACAGAAGTACAGTAAGGACTGAGGATAACTTGCTGTCTCCAGTACAGTTTAAAATTCCTACTTGGAGTTTGGTAAATGAAACACCACCTGTCGTAAGAAGATTCTGTACAGCAGTGCAAAATGCCACACTGAGATCTTGACTGCTTAGAGCCAGAAAGCAGCAACATGTTATAATGTGACGTTGTATTTTTAACTCACAGTGAAAACGTTATGGCGGGGAGAGAAATGAAAGTATTTCTGCAGGCAGCATGAGTTCATCAGTCATATTTAAGGTCAGGCTATAATGACAATTTTAGACCATTAGAACTGAGCAAAGGATAGTTACTAGAATGTCACAGATGGAAAGGATTTTCACTGTTTTACTAGCTTGTAAATATCGCTGGGCAAAAGGAACCCAGCACACTAAAGCTCATCTTATTTGCAGGGAATAGTTTAAAAGCTATTTCTTCTGAATGAAAAACTTGCCTGATGGTAATATTGTGGGATTCTTTTTACCTACTAGGTTTCCAGCCAGATGAAGAGATGAGTGAAATCTTCAAGACAGAATTTCAAATGAGATTGCTCTGGGGCAGCAAAGGAGCAGAAGTTAATCAAAATGAAAGATATGATAAATTCAGCCAGATTTTAACTGCACTTTCCCGAAAACTGGAACCTCCTCCAGTGAAGCAGGTGGAACAATTAAGTATATAAGACTCAAAACACTATTTAAATTATATACTTGAAAATAACCTTAGCTTTCTTTTGGCAATTTGATACTGCACAAACTTCTTACATTTCACAAGATGTTTAGAACTTTTAACTGCACAATGCACACTTGTTTTAAAACTACTGATTTCTAAACAAATTATTTATTTACTGTGTCAGCAACTCATTTAATGATCCCTTTAAACAGTTAGGTTATCTCTGTAAGATAGTCTTTTCTGTATTTCCCCACAGTTCCAATGTTTTGATAATGCCTAGAAGTAAGGGCACTGGCATCTTAATATTAAAATGAAGCAAATAGTGTAAATAAAATGATAGATTAAGTATGTGACATTACAGAAAATTTGTTGTACACTATTCTTTTAATGAATATAAAACACTGTACATAGAATTGTGAATTAAAGTGTATTTATGCAAAATAATTTGCATATTTGCAGATCACAGGTTCCAGAAATGATCCGTTTTGTATGACCACAACAGAAGGCTCAAATATCACTGCCCCTATGAAAGCAGAAAATTAGTTGTGTATGTGTTGGGACAACTTATGTTTTTCTTTAAGACAGCATCTGTAGTACTTTGGCTTTTGCTGGAGCCTGAACAACAGCTATGCTGCCAGGAATGAGTGATGAAATGGCAAGAACAAACAATCCAGATAATTAAAATGCTTTCAGATATGAGTAAATGTGGGTGTATGTATATATTAAACTTGCTTCATTTACTGAGGTGAATCACTTGGTAAGTAGTATTTTTTTTTCTTGGATGAAAGCAAAGCATAAGCTGTTAGCATATTTCGTAGGAAATCAGCATGCATCGTGTTTATATGAAGAGTGCTTTAGCAGCAGAGTCAGCTTTGTCACATACAGAACTGGTGTATAAGCATTATCCTCAGAAGTTGTATAAATATTTACGTAAGAACTATGGTTAGAGCTGCATGTGCTGTTGTCAGTAAGCCTCTTTCTGGAGTGAGATGTTACTCAGAGCATTTGAAAATACTTGCGTAGGCTAACAACAAAACCAACCCCCTAATGGTATTACCTGTTCCCCCCATCTACAGTCATAGCAGAGGTTCTACCACCATAACGAGGTTACAGATCTCATGCTGAAAGTCTCCCTGTCAGTCTTAACAAAGACAAATGAGGAAGCTAATTACTTAGACCATGAAAAGATTTTTTTATTCCATGAAAATATTCTCAACAGAGAACACTATTTTTTAAACAAAGTATTTAACATTTAGGAAATCAACATGTGCACAAAAAAGGATTAAAAATTACTGGAAAATGTAAAGATTCTTTAAGACAACTCACGTTCAGAATTTTAGAATAAGTGATTTATAACTAGCTGTGCAAGTACAAATGTTTTTTTTATATGTTTAATAACCCTCATACACGTTGCACTATCCCTCATGAAAGCAACTTGCCTCCAAAGGAAGCAAATCCTGGTTTTAGAAAAACAAACAGTAGCGTGAAAAGAACATTTAGTCCTTTACCAGGAAGTGTTATTACTGACCTGAAAGGCTGTTAGCCAGGCAAAGTACAGGCCCTTTAACAGAAAATACACAGATCACATTTCCTCCTTTTCTCTAAATTTAAAATAAAAAAGCACTAGATTTAAAAAAAAAAAAACACAAAAAACCCCCCAAGAACCACCTAAGTAGTTTTGTCAGTATTGAGTAATGTCACATTATTATATAAATAACCCTGTATACAAGCTCCAAAAATCTAAACTTCAGAGTTTAATAGCCCCCATAATACACTAGGTCAAGCAGTGTAATAGTGGTATACGTAATGAAAGGAATAAACCTACACAAGTCACTCAAATTCAGTTTTACTGGTACTACAGTTCCTAATAACACTGAAATGAAAAAGAATCCAGCGCTGCTGTATCCAAATATTGCTTCAGCCCCTAGAAAAACAGGATGTTTTGACTATTATTTCATTTCCCCAAACAGCAGGTGGCTGGGTTGACAATCTTGCTTTGATACAAGTATCCCTCCCCCCAACATCTCTAGTCTAATGCTTATCACCCTATAAATCAGATATGATGTATTTATTAATAGAACCACAAATGGGAGGCAAGACAACATAAGCAATAGGGGCACTGCAGACAACTATATTTACATGTATAAACATATCCAAATTTCAATTGTTTACAAGTAAAAGTGCACATAGATCATTACGAAGTATCACTCAAATTTCAACTGGTCCATACAATGAAGCGTCACCTGGAAATGGACTATCACTGCAGTAATTAAAATTGGAACTTCATAGTGAAAAACTAAAAGATAGTTTCCATAAAAATATTTAAAAAAATATTAAAGTCAAATGAAGAGATACATGTTTCAATGTATAAAATTCATGATGCACCATGTATCCAGTAACGTAGAGCTCTAGAAAACACCTACCGTGGCTACCTCAGCAGCTGCAGCACTGTGAATAGAGCTGAGACAGAGCCCTTTGTGGGATACTGTAAGTGGTAGTGTTGGCAAACAACAGATTTAGGCACTCTAGTTTAAGGCAGCATTTGAATGGCAAGTGGTTGACTTCTGAAAACAGTCATTAGCTTGCAGTGGTGAATCTCTCTCCTGGTGGTGTTCCAGCTTTTCAGTGCTCACAACAGGTTACTGAAGTGCTGAAGATGGACCACAGTTCTAAGAGTTTCTCTTGATTGCATTGTAGGCTAGAGCTGAGATGTATTACTTCCCCAAATCAACACAAATACATTACGGTCTCTTACAGTTATGCCAAAAACTGGAATGTAATGATGGTTGCAGTGGTATAGTTATAGCAGCATACATGGATACTGGGATGAAACTCTAGTGCTGAAGATATTTAAACAAAATGATTTGTTACAAAATAGGACAAGCAATGACGGCAAAGTGTTATGCAGACAAGCCTGACTGTCCTAGGCATGCAGGAAGAGGTTAAGGGCGAGCATGGAGGTGGCACAGGCAGACTGATAACTGACATACGGTTATAAACGACTGCCCATTAAAATGAGTTGGAAAAGAGCATAATTGAGATAACCAAAACATAGCACAAGCTGAAATATAGTTTGTGCATCTGGAACAACCTAGGACAATGAAAATAAAGCAATTTTAGGAGCAGTAGCCTTTTTACTCTGGTAGTGGAACTCTTAATTTCCTGCACAAATTGAAGAATTTGTAATACATCCTTACCTATGTATGGAGATGCTAAGATGTTAGTGACTAAATGTATGTCTGCATGCATTCATGCAACTAGCTTTTCCCCCTGGGCCTCCCAGTCTAATCCTTTTTTTTCCCCCCCCCCCCGCCCCAGCGGCTGCATGTAACCTCCTTCAAGATCTCGCCCATTTTCTCAGAAACCCGCTTCAGGAACCTGCAGTCCAAGAGGAAAAAGAAAAGAACAAAGTTACTGAAGGCCTTTAGAAGACAGAGAAGCGTGCTCAGTTCTAACAGGCCATTCCCAGTGGCTATGCATTAGCCTTGTACTTAATTCCACAAACTCCCATTAGAAATATGAGCCACAGGTTTTAGATTAGCTTTTTTTTTTTATCTAGTAATCAAGTAGTGCAATGTAGTTTCCAATCCTCAGTGATTTAACAGAGAGGGGAATAACTGTACACTTAAGACCCTGATTTGAAACTAAACATGATGCAATTAAAAGACTTAGCTTACAGGCACAGATTAAGAATATAAAATAATTCTCTTTTCAGGAGCAGACAGAGGTTTCAGTAAGACATCAAGCATTAACATGTGTTCTTTTTTTTGTTTGTTCAAGGTATCTAGAGTTAAAAGAATGAAGTTGTGTCCAATGCACAACATTCTACAAGTACTGGAAAGGAAGGAGAGAGGCAGGTCAGGACTTTCTGTCCCTTCTTAATCGAATGTTTTTTCCTGAGTATTTTTGTTGAGCTTTCAGAATCAGAAAACATTTTCCTGTTTAAGAAGTGAAAGCTGCCAAATATTTGCTAAGGAAGGAAATTAATAATTGTCAGTAACTGAGTTTCATCAGTTATTAGAGGAAAAAACTCTCTAAGCATATAGTTGAAGTCATAAGTGTGGGAACAATAAATCTTAGAGGTCTTTAAAACTATGTAATTTTTCAGTTCTCTATAAAAACAAAGTATTCTACAGAACAAGCAGGAGTCCTGGTCTTTTTCAGTTTAATAGCTGAATTGGATTTAGTGCTTTGTAAAGAAGAACACTAGATCAGTTAAGCAGAAGACATCAGTCAAAATTACCGACCAGTCTAAGATGCATAATTTAATGTGGTCATCTCTGAAAAAAACCTACAGGAAATCCACATTGCAAACAACAGACCATTGCTGACTTCTGGTATTCTAGTGCTTTTGATGAACCTGTGTAACTTACTGTGTTTTCACTATTTCCCCTGGGGAATTTACAACTGAAAGCTGCCAGTTTACAGTTAGATATAGGTTACTGCACCTTTGCTGTTTTTCTCTAGCGTTACATCTATATATGATGTTGGCACATAGCCTTCCTCTCCATTATGTCTTCGAGCTCTTGTCCACCCATCTCCTTTGTCCTCCTCAATAATGTACAAAATTTCCCCTTCTTTCATTGCTAGAGTGCCTTCATTATGACCTGGAAAAAACAAGAGGCAAGTCTCAATGTTCAGACAGAATTTCAAGTCATCTTTTTCCCAGGGCATAGTTTCCAGATTATACATAAACAGGAACAACAAAAAATCTGTACAAGCGAACATATGGTCAAACAGGCTTACAGACAAAAACGTAGTCCAATTTGTAAAGCTGAATGTTTGCCATTAGCGGGTATTTATCTTAAAACAGCATAAAAGTACTGCTCATGAATTAGTGATTTATAAAATATTTCCACTGATCATATTATAAGGAACTAGTTGCTCATACAGTTAATTTACTTCAAATCATTTTACCTGTCTTCTCTGTAACAAATAATCCATGCCTTATAGTCAAGGAATCATAGTGCATACTGTTAACCTTACCATCGAACGGATATATTGCCTTGCAATGTCCTATAGCTGGTAATGGATCATCATCTTCAAACTCATCATCAAACTCATTTGGATGTGCATGTTGCTGGGTTGGGCCTCGAACTTCCTGATTGGCATCATCTGTGTAACTCCCTTCAGGGCTATAATGCAATGATTGGAGTGTGAGGACTCTGAAGAATTCTTAGCTCCAAAACTTAGAACATACATGCATCACAGAAAGAACAGACTGTGGATATTGCTCTGGGAATGCCTGTTAGCAGTTTGTATATTTACTGCTGGAGATGATTTTCTGAAAATACTTGTCTAACAAAGGCTTGGACTGAATTCTACTACAAAAACAAACATTAATTTGACATACTGTCTTTACAGAACATGGAAAACAGGGGAGCCTTATGTAATGGAATTAGATAGCTTTAAAAGGCACTGCTATTTAATGAGTGTGTATTTCAATTAGACTATTTTCTGTTACCATAATGACATGAAGTGACCCCTAGAATTCAGAACCAGTAAGATTTTCCTTTAGAAGGACATAAACTTTCAGAGGATAAGTAACAACCATCACCTACTGTTAACTATCAAAGAGACGTACTGATTCTAGCATAAGATAAAAAAGCAGTAGATAGATAATAGTGACCTCTCTCTGCCCTGTGTTACAAGGTGGTTGATGTCACTGCTGTGCCGCCTGTCACTTCTGGCTGCTACTTTACCTTCAACTTCAGAGAGCCAGGCCTTGGGGAAAAAAGACAAATGTTGGTGTCAAAGAAAACTTGATTCGAAACCAGGAAATACCATTTAACAAATGCACTTGTCAGTACACAGCCACATACAGACCGTTCACGTGTGAAGTCTCATAATTACTTCACATGAAGCATGAACCTATCCCTCCTGCTTAGCCTGTACTCCACACTTAGTCTTAAGGAAAAAAATCTTTAGCCACATATGAATTTCAGAATAACTGATTAATAAGAAATTCTTCTAAACAGTTTACATCTTTAATAATATACATCCTTAGTCTAGCTAGATGAACATACTTGAAAATATGGCACCCCCAAAAAAGTTGTATCCGGAGTGCTTTCTTAAATCAAATAGTTTTTCTGGGTGCTATTTTTATAACCCATAAGGCAAACTACACTTTTACAACTCATTTACATTTTCTAAGGAATTGTTTTAGAGTCTAACCTCATTCTTGTGTATTTCCATCCGAAGACGGTCCATGTTGCTCATAGTCTCAGTTAATTTTGGTTGCAAACTGCTTGGATCACCCATCTGGGGATTTTTTTCATAAACATCCTTCATCTTGATGAGGGCATCTCTAAAAACATACAAAACTCAACAATAAATAAAAAAATCACATACATCAGTATTGATATATTAAAGCTAAATTACACACCACACCTAAATCCTTTTCCAATTCTGTCATCTTAGCACTTAGCCTTCCTTTCTTGTATCATGCACAAGCACACAATCGAATCTTCTCTATCCTGTCTCAATACTGTTTCCCATGTTGTTCGTTACACACAATTTTGTAAATATTAATAACACTTTTCTAAAAAAAATCAGATGTATGCATTGATTTTTTTTTTTAATGAATACTTTTAGATCCAATCTCTCCTATCCAACATTAGAATCAAAATGTGTATTTATAAAAAAGCAGAAGGAAGCAATGCTAACAGAACGTACACCCAATAAACCATGAACTAAAAAAAAGGTTTGTAATAGCCTGGATTAGTATACTCTCTCCTAGCTTCTGAGTATTGTTGGCTTAGGTAGAGAATTTCAAAAGAAACAGATGTAGAGAGACCTGTGACAAAACTCCAAAAAAGGCACTCACTTTTGGTCTGTTTCCTTCTGTAGTTCTCTGTTGAGTTCATCGATTCTCTGTTGCAGTTTCTTGCGTCTTTGTTCGGGAGGGAGATGGCTGAAGTCTTCTAGTGCAGGGCCCTGCAAGTAGAAATACTGTTAAACAAGTCAGCATGTACATATCTGGACAGCTGAACTGACATGCCCACACATGGACAGCGTTCACTGGAAGCAGGATGGACCTTCTTAAAAACTCTACTTGACACACAGCTCTATAGAAGACTGCAACAGAATAAATGCACGTTCTTGCTGCCAGATTGTAGTTCTTCATTCAAGGTTCTTTCTGCCTTCTCTAACAGTTGGCTCACATATATAATTGAAAATTTGTAGATTTAATTATTCTTCTGAAAAGCTGAGCCATGTACCTATTGCAGCCGCTGCACTTAAAGCAGATTTAGAAAGGACAGAATTAATTACTACAGAGTAATTTCAGTCAGAACAAAAAATCTAAGATGTGTATCTAATAATAATAGGTATATAATGGATTCTTCCTCTGGAGTGTGTTTTCTATGGTGATTTGGATGCTATCAAAAGAAAACTACTACATTTTGGATCCTCATTCCAAAGTATTATTATAGTTCTCTTGTGGAAGGTCATCAATCTTGTTAGAAAACATACTAAAACTTACAAAGTTCTGATGCATTTTACCTCGAGTCGAACTAATTCACAGAGCACAGGAACAGCCTTTTAGCATCAAAATTCTGACTTAAATTGTTAATGTGAATCAATACTGCTCAAATATTCCAAGTCACCTTTTAATTATAAAAAACAATGTTTCAGGCCTAGGAAAAAAACTCCCACTTTCCAAACTTTTGTAAATATTTTTTTTTAAACTTAAGAGCACCTAGTGTCATGAGCCCAAACCTGCAAGGGTTTGATTGCAAATGTAAGCCGTGACTATAAAGTCCTTCCAGATGGGAAGGACTTAGGGAGAGGTTGTTATGTTATCTTGTGAGTTTGTTGTGAAAACTCTTCCCCTCAGGGTGACAGACACTGACAGCGTTAAAAAGGAAATAGGGTACATGTCTTAACAACAAGAAGTTAAGTTACATTAATTGTGTCCAAGTTGCCTAAGAAAGGTGGTTTTAGCACAAGAAACCCACTTGCCATTACAGTAACCCTCCATGGAGGCAAACCGAACTGGACAGCATTTATTTTGTCAAGAAAAAACTTGACAGAAACTTGACTGTTGAGATTTTGATACAAGCATCCTTAGGCTCAGGTGCCAAGTTTCTAATACCCTCTCAAGATCTTGCCCATCAACTTCTTGTTTCTTTTGCACTTGTAAAATCATAATCTCACCGCTTTGTTTCAAGAAAGGAATACAAGACACCATACAAGAAGAGAAATCAAGACAGGATGTTTCCTAAATAAAGCAGAAGTGTTTCTTTCTGGAGGAAAAAAAAAAATTAAAATCCTTTCAGGTGCTTCTGCACACTGCAAAGAAACAAAAAGACAATCGCATCCTCTGTATCATTCTTCCTTACAGGTCAGTTAAAACCAGAGTATCCTATAGCAATAATGAGAAGAACAGAGGTCTTTTTGTGAATTGTTACCAATTTACTCTGCAAAACAACAATATTGATTAAGGCGTGGTTTTCATATAATATAACAGCTTTCTAATATTCCTAAGCACAAAGGATGACCACCCCTGCAATTTTTTTGTTAAATTCAAAGGAGTGAGTTTTGCAGTATGTCTCCTTTATACAAGTTTTGTAATATTTTCATGTACCTATTTTATGCTGCTTTAACAATTTTGCTGACAAAGAGAAATCACCAAGTATTTCCGTCATGACCAACTCATGAATACTGGTCAACCCTAAAATTCCAAAATCACAGATTTAGTTGCAGCCAGATCACAAGTCTAATTATCTTACATTATGCATGGATGAATAAGAAGACTGTGTATATGAGTGGAAAATCTGAAGATGTATTTCAGCACCTGACTTAAAGGAGTTATGATATGGAAACACTTTCAAAAGATTACTTTCATGCTATCTTAGCAGAAGTACAGCAGACAGATCAGCACACGGGCTTACCATCTTCACCGACCACTGCACAGTTCATTTGAAAACAAAAAGAAACGGAAATTATTCACATGCAACGACCAGTTACAAAAATGATTAATGCCTAAAAATGTATCTTTAAAATATTACTCAAGGATTAAAATTTTAATTTATAAAAAATACATTTTTACTATGAGCACACGAAAAGCAAAATACAATAATCAGAAATACACTTCTGCTTTAAGAATTACTGATTTTAAAAATTACTGGATGATAATGGGTAGTTTATGAAATTCTAATACACAACTTCATTAAACTACTTCTGAATTTTAGTGTTTTGAATAATATGCTAAAGAACTTCTGTTGCAAGAGAAGAAACAAACACACAACCAACATTGCACAAAATAGCAGAATTTGATGATGATGAAGGACTGGTCAGCCATATGCAAATTATTTGTTTATTATAGCTAACAATCCACTACTATCACTTTGACAAACGTTAATTTTTACAGTGTCTTTACTAGCACAGTAGAACTACAGTAAAGAATATCTTAGAGATCTTTTAGTCCAGATAAAAATAAAGACATTTAAAAAGTAAAGACTTTATCCTTAGAGGAAGCAAATAAAACGTGGGGTGCCAGGTGTCATATCTTGGGTTTGACAGCATTTTGGAGATCTATGATTCTTAATGACTGGATAACTCTTTCCAGAGAAACACCAAACAGCTTAGAAGATGTACATCTCCAACATAATTTATGACCCTCAGCAATTGTTAAGGCTGTTGATTGGAGCACAGACACAAAATCAGAATTTCTAGCAATGAGGGAAGTAAAGCACCTTCACAGATAACACTTTGGTAGAAGCCTCAATGAAGTGCAAAGATGTATAAATATAAATGGCTGTAGAATAAACTTCTTGTTCCCTTTAGAAAGAGTCTTCCAAGAAAACACAAGTAAGGTTTACGTATCTCTGTTGATGATGCATCTACTGTTTATGTATGAAGTGGCATTGAGCAAAGACCTCTCATAAGCACTATCTAGAAATGTTAAGATTTCAAAAAATAATAAGCAGCATGTAATAGCATTATTAATAAAGCAAATTACACTTGCTTATATTTAAAGACTTTTTTTCAATAACCTATTCTACAGCTACCGTTTGCTGCTTTCACTATACAGCCCTATAGGGAACTCTAATGCATGAAGCACAGAATGAGGGCAGTCTGGTTTTTGTATCTCCAGTGCCTTGAGTGAAATCTTGTACAGAGCACGTTAAACAAAATAACCAGCATGCTTACAATCCAATATATGCCAATTTATGGATAAGTCTCGGTGGAAACAGAAGCAAATTAAATACTACTTAGTAGTTCTGCATACCAACACCACTTGGACATCATTTTCCAGGGACAAAACTGTGGAAAACAGCATCGTGTACTAGCAACTACTAAGCACTCAACCAAGATATATTATAAAACTGATCAATGAGCTAAAAAAAATAAATATTAGAATTACAGTGGAATTACAGATTGAAAAGGCACTCAATATGTGATAATGTGATGTCTGCTAAAATGCTTGCAAGGAGTTTCAAAATATAGAAAAAATTAAATGTTCATCCTGAAGATTTACAGAGATTAACAATTTAATATTGTGGGATATTTGAGTTAATATAGATCTGCAGGATACTCGTGATCCTTGCTAATTTTACAGAATACTATTCTATATTAAATTCATTCACATTTACAACATGAACAATGAATTGTAAGAATTAAAAAAAAAAAGTTTCATTTTTTCATTAGAATTCTGCAGTTATTAGGAGATGATCTTTTCCTTCAGTAAGAGTTTCTAGAACTACTGATATTACAAGTTGTTGACTTTTGAGCCAGGACTCAATACATTTAGTGATCAACAAAAAGGAGGTATAATCAAGACCTGCGCCATTCCAACAACTATCTAATCCAGTTGGTTCCTCTCTGAGTACTGCAGAAGGAACATGATCTTCATGACCAGAACAAATGATAAGTGACTCAGAAGGGGAAAGGAAAAACTGTTTATCATCAGTACTTAAGAGGACCAGGAGTATTTTCTAACAATGGTCGTGGTAGAAAGGGTATTTCCAAGACACCTGGGGGCTCAAAATAAGATGCCACAACATGACTTAAAATAAGTTTTAAGTGTCACTCATTATATTTCAGAATGACAGCATAGGAGCCTCTAAATCATTAACTTTACTGAAGTATAACATTGTTGCACTTTGATCTCCACATTATGTCAACAGTAGTCAACCATTCCTGATGCACACGACAGCAAGTCAATATTGTTTTCAAATGTCAGAAAAATCATGAATTATATATAATCAAATGCAGTCAACTATCTCATTATTTGGATCAATAAATATCATAAAACATACATAAACTGGGCACAGCCTGTGTTTCACTGACATAACAGGAAAGTGCCACTATATTTATCACTAGTGCTATGAATCTTGCTAGGAAACCACTTAAATTTCCTTTAATTGTCTTCCAAATCAATTCTTTTTGCAGAATATGGCACTATAAATTTGTAAATTAGTTGATAAATCTCATAGGGTACCATTTGGTAGTAATTCTTCAACAATTTTACTCAAAAGAACATTGGACAATCAAGAACAATTAATCACAAAATGCATTAAAATTGCAATGTTTCAAAAATCAGTATTTCAAAAACTTCCAAGCACCATGTGCTATATAGCATTTGATGTACAAAAGAAATGAAATTTCTCCCTCCTTAATTCAGTGTCTCGTAATCAGCTACTATTATTTCAGTTAAAACTCAGCAAATAAGGTGTCTGATCTGTCAGATGTTTTTTGTGGTGACTATATACCCAATGATTAATTACTGCAAGAATGTGTTATGTGATGGTAGAAAAACATTTTTGAATGTGAACAACAATGAAGAAAGGTACCAAACACATGCTAAGCACCCTCTTTATAACACCTTTCTTTTAGGCACAAGTATTTGGAATACGATAAAGAGTATTTCTATTTTATTTTTTAACGTGTTGGTAACTTCTGTATAATGTGAAACAAAGTAGCCTAAAAGCGACCTTATAGCTGAAGTGTTACTTTTAACAAAGTAAGCCTTATAATGAGGGTGAAGAGCATTAGAAAAGCCACATCACAAACACACTGTTCATAGCCCATCATGCATTTCAACTTGTTATCAAACTTACCCCTCTTTTGAGGCTTCTGAAAGAAGGAATTCTGGGCTTCCCTGTTTTTATGTCACTCATGCAATAATGCACTGGTTCAATGGAGAATATGGGATACTGGGACCCATTAGGAGTACTGGATGTGTATAAACTAGTAGGGGTTAGGGGTGGGGACTGTGGCTAATATGGAAATAAAGAAAGCAATAAATAAGCCAAATGTTCAAAGTGATTTTAAAATGAATATTCTGTCTTACAAAATAAAATTTCCATCCAACACAGAAACAGCTTGTAACACTCCAGACACATTTACACTATAACTGTATTGTTTTAAAAAGTTTCTGTCATGAACTTATCTTCAGCTACAGGCTGGAGGAGAGAATGAAGGACTATTCAAAAAAGCTTTAGACTCAATACTTCCAAAAAATCCTAACAAGATCCCGAAGTTGCCTGTCTCTTTTCCTAAAACAGGAAGTTCTGCTTTTGCCAACTTTTGTTGCAGCCACTCTGGAACCTTGTTCATTCCTCCTCACTGTTTCTTCGTACATTTTTATGTGCCCTACCAGGTAAGCTAAGATAGAAACATTAGATACATCTGTGGAGAATGACTAAAACAAAAAGTATACTCAATCTCTGTAGTCAAGCTGGACTGACACAATGGCTGCGTGGCATTCTTAATCTGTATCATCACAGGAACTTCCTCCATGTTCTTCCTCCCCTTTTTTCAAATTGCTTCTCTCATTTTCTGTCTCTCAGACCTCTGATGCTTTTTCCCAGTTTGCTTTTTCTGTACTATTTCCTCTGCTGCACAACTCATTCTCTTTTCAAAAGACTTTTATGTCTGACAATATCAAAAATAGGTGAGCGCGTGTCTGGAAGTCAAGACCAGCCATAGTTTCAGATAAATGAAGGCCCAAAGGCCACCATTAATACCCCAGCAACAATAAATTAGCATATTTTTATATTAGCTAATTTAAGAATATATTTTAAAACTTTTAAATAGTATTTGGAATTAAATATGTATCTCCTGGTAAGTACTGTGGTCCCAGCTGCTGTTTTGTAGCAGCTCCCCATCCTCCCCAAAAACAGGGGGAAAAAAAGGGACAATCTTTCATTCCCTCCACATCCTTAAGGAAGAGACGCATGTAGTATGTATACACATATGTATATCAGTGATTCCACACAGGAAACACTAAGGCTGACTCTTTGGATGCTACATACAAAGTGAATGAACTGGGGAGAAAAAAGAGTAGGGAAGTCCTGTCAGCTTTCTTCATACTAAGGCATTTCTCATAATTACATCGCCAAGGTCCAGATTGAAAACCAATGCACATTTTCATAGCTTCCCTCTCCTAAATTCTCAGAAAGATGTCTTGCTGTCAAACTGGTAATCATGATCTACTTTCCGAACAGGCTGAATCTCACCCACCTCTGCAGCCAAATGCAATAAATATGCTACGGCATTAATGCATTTGAACTATTATCAATTATTAATTATACCGCATGAAAATACAACAGTCAGTTTTCATTTTAACACACAGCTGCAGTTACATAATACACTGAGGAGGGAATAAAGAATCAGCTATATCCTTTCTTTCTATAAAGATCTGCGTTCTTGGAATACTACCAAGTGGAAAATAAATCCTACCAGTAATAAGCTCTGAGAATAGTTTCCTACAATAAACAGCAGAAACTGATTTGGAGCATTAAAATAACCTCATAGAAATTTGTGGGAATCATTAAAATGACTCACTGATATGCTCCAACACTAAATAAAGACTTAGCATAAAATTTAAATATGTATATGCTTCATTGTTTGCTTATATAGCTAATGTATATATGGATAGTATCTTTTGTTGATCCATTAAGGCATCTTGCCCAGAAAGTATTAACTGAAACTCATAATAATACAAGAAAGGAGTAATTTCTCTGTGTTCTGAGCACAGGAATATTTTTACCTATTTCATAGTAATATTTCTTCTGGGACATTTACCTCCATGGAGCTTCAACAGTATGTTTTATCAAATGAGGTAGTATAAATTTTCATGTTTTCAGACAAAGCTCAGAAGTTTTCAAAACTAGCAGCAGCAGGTATAACAAAAATCTATGTGTGTAAACATCTACAAAATGTGACATTTAGAAGGGGGTTGCTTTTTGTAGTATAAAAGAGAGATCTCAAGTCTGCCCGATTCCAAAGCATACTCCCCCTCCCCTTATTTTACATTCACAATTAACACCTTTTCTATGCAACCGCAGAAAGTCGTTACGGAAACTTAGAAACGTTACAGAAATGGGAAGCTACTTTTTTCAAATAACTATCAGAAACATCCCTAGACACAACTCACTAGAAGAAAAAATGAAAAACTTCCCCCAGTGAGAACTTGTTTTAAAATGTGATAAGTATCCAACCTGACTCACACCTTCAGATCTCCTTACACATATTTTAAAACACAGTGGCAGGCAAGGGGAAGGTTATTTTAAAATAAATGAATTGCTGCTTGCATGCACTGTAGACCTTTACATTTTAATGTTCCGAGTAGTAGTTTCTTAATTGTTACCTTTGGCTTCTTTCCAAATAGCCACAGCTTTCCTTTAGCCTTGCCCACTGTAGTTTTTGAATCAATTCTCATTCCTTCCTGCTTTGGTGTGCTGATGGTTCCATCAGAGATAGTTCTGTAAATATTCTGACTGTAATCTTCAAATGGAAAATCTCCAGGAGGTTCAAAACCAGATTTGAAGCAGTCTATCACTAGTTGAGAGTCCTAAACACAGAACATTACAGAGTTTAAAAAGCAAAACAAGCAAACCCATCAAGAACTGGAGAGAGAAAAACACGGAGACATAAATTTTCCCTTTAATTGCAGAGATGGGAAAGTGAGAGCTCAAAATGCATACTTTTGGAAACATCAAGTTAAGATAACATCTGTTCTTTTTTCTCAGCAATGTTACCATGAGTGTAAGTCAAAGCACACCATGCTATCCAGAATCCAGCAAATACTCCCCAAGGGTTATCACAAATTTAAAACAGGACATGCTTAAGGGCCAAACTATTACCCCACCTTCCAATCCTTCAACATTAGCAGTGAAATTAAGCTAACACTGAGAAACTAGATGTAGTAAGATATAATAGGGAAGAAACCATATTAGGAGGAGGAGTAAGAAAGAAGTGCCAATAGCTGCAATCAAACAGGACATATAATGATCCTTTGTTAACTGAACACCCTTTATATGATTTAATGCTACATCCTGGAGAAAATACCAACCATCCTGGTATTCTAGGATGTTTCAGGCTAACCAAAACAACGTGTCCAAAATCACATATAGTGAGAAAGTGTCAAAGATCTTCAGATCACAAGAAGGCAATAGAACAGGAAGAGAACACACACCGAAAGTGGAAGTGACCATTTAGGCTAAAACTGAAGTCACGACACTTTTCAAGCTGACAAATATTTGACAACAGAAAGATAAATGTACAAGGTAAATCCATCTTTCTTCCACATCAGTTAAATTGCTCATGCATATTTAAAAAGTCACTCAATTCTACTTACTCTGTGTTCATCAACTGATTTCGCTGCAAGAATCATCCCTTCTAAACATTTAGAGATAATTGGAATAACCTTCCGCTCAGAGTCAGCAAAGCCTTTGTAACATTCACTAAGTTTGATAGTCCTTCTTTCATCCATTTCTTGAAGTTGCTGCAAGGACAAAGTTAAAATGAAGCTTTTATTTGCAAGTTTTTTCCCCCCAATCCTGATGTATGCAGTTACTGTGGCCACCATAGTGTAGCACACAATTTCTGTGCTTCCCCAGTATTTTTACTTGCTTAACAAAACAGAACTTAATTAAAAAATCAAGTCCTTTCAGACACAGACTTAAGGTCCCCAGAAAAGTAATTATGAAGAGCTTATACTATTTGATTTTTTAAATTTCTATAAAGAATTTGACTTCCTTTTCCTTATTCTTTTTTTAAAGCATGTGTACAGTGTCTAAGACACCTGTTTAGTTTTAAATATTTGTTTTGTGCAAAAATGAAAACGACAGTAAATAAATTCTACTAATTTCTACATCTCACTCTCTCCTTCTATCCAAATAATTTCTCTCTGGTGATAAATATCGCTATCTTGTTTTTATTTTTTCCTTTCAATAAATACCAACAATTAACAAAATAGGGAAAACTAGAAATATTAAAGTTGTATGTTGTTTAGACATGCTCTCTGATTTGAAATACAAACCATTTCCTTTAGAAGTGTGCAAGAAAATAAAGAATACCATTAGATTTGTAATAGAAGTCTACTGGAACACAACAAAAAAAACTAATTAAAGAGAAATACTATTAAGATAATAGCCCTAGACCTTTCGCCTAATTGAAGGTGGAAAAAACCCCAAAAGAAAACAAAAAGCAATAGTACATACATCAAGATGTTATGAAAAAATGGGGTAAGAAGTTGGATCTTTCCTGTATCTACTCTAACAATGGCAGATGTCTCAATTTTCTCCTGTGAGTCCTAGACCTTCTAATAAGTATTTTTTTTTAAATATGAGCTCCCTCGTGCTTCTGGAAAATATCCATCATTCTTAAATTCGTACGCCTTCAAATAAAGTCAGTTACTTTCAGTTTCCTCACTCCATGTCTCAGAATCAGTTTCTACAGTCACAGTATTCTCCCAATGGCTGAACGTAGGTGCCAATACCCTCTCCCTCACCTGATGCCCCCCCACTACTTTATTTTAAACTAGTTTTGCAAAAAACTGTTTTTGAAAAAATCCTCAAAAACCCAAAAATCTCAATAGTTACATGAAGCAACTTGAGAAATCACATTTTACATGCAAAGTATTGACCGAATTTGACCCGTAACTTCTGCCTCCAATACCTGTACGTGAGATCTGTTAAACCACCGTTAGCTGTATGCTTTCTTTCACCTCTGACAGAGTCAAAGCATTCACACACAAATATCAAGAGAACTAGTGATCACACCTTACTAGAATGACCTTTTTAAATGTTTGCTCTCACACAGATCTCTCAAATGTTTATTTCACCACTCTTCAGCAATATATAAACAAAGAGTCTATAAAATACAAAATCTTCACAGAAAATGCAACAGAGTATTTTCATTACTGTAAGCAGTACATCTCACAATTAAATGCAGGTTATATCAAGATTATGCTAATTTTTGGATAAAATTATCCACTAAAATCCCAAAAACAAAGTTTTAAATTTTAAAATCTACTTCTCCCTTAGAAGAAGAGCAGACATAATTTCTCTGTTAATTATTTTACCTTATAAATCTGAGGAATGACAATGTAGTAGTGTTTGTGCTGTTCTCCATTAAAATTCTGTAGTTGTGCAGCGTATTCATTTTTGTTTTCATCAGCCATATGCGTGCGCAGGTTTAACTGTTGCTTTGCCTAGTAGGAAAGTGTTATCTGTTCAAATGTTTCCTCTGCTTTTCAATGACATACAGCATTATTTTAATTTATTTTTATCAACTACACAAAAACACTAATCACAAGTCATCAAAACTGACATCCTTATAATTGAAAAGCATGTGAGACTTCACATATACTGACAGTCTACAGACCTAATTTGTTATATACAGAGAGAGCAACGATCATTTTAGCTCCCTTAGCCACGTTGCTTAAATGCGTATCCTGAAAAACACAGAAATGACTGAACATGTATATACAACGAGATACCAAATACCAGTTAGTAAGCCTGCCTGTTTAAGGAAGAGAGTCATCATCATCTCAACAGCATCATCTCAAGACTAATGAAGCATACTCCCTTCTCTGTGCTGTCTTATATTTTACTGTAGCTTTGATTTTGCACATAATAAGCAAGCATATTTATACACAATTTTATACACCAAAAGAATGTTGTTCCAGTACAGATGATAAACATGCAAATAAAATGTTTTTTATAACTAAGAGATAGTAAAGAAAGAAACAGCAGTGCTCTTACCTTCTCAACATCAGCCTTTGTCGCATTAGTGTCATTGTCCAGTCTTTCGTAGCTTTGCTGCGCCTTCTCTGCCTCTCTGCATTCTCTCTCAAATTTCTTTTTGCTCTACAAAAGCCACAAACTTACTGCTTCAACAGCCACTATCCTCTTTTGGTTTTGTACAGTAATTTTGAATTCTAAATATCAAAGCTTCCATTTAAATATCTTAAATTCACTAAGTACCTTTAAGTAAATACATTGTTCTCGCAGCAACCAAGTCTCAAAAGTTTTCAACTTTTCTGTTTTAAACTTATTTCCTTGAAGTGCCAGCAAGGAAAAAACTGTAATTATGCTATAAAATATCAGATAATAAAAATACAAAATAACCTATTACAAAGATCTGCAGTTAATAATAAACATACAAGTCTACTTTCCAGCCTGACTTCAATATTTAAATAAAAGGGGGCATGTACAAGACTCGCACAAGTAAAATTTTCAAGTTCCCTTCTTCAGTGATCAATTTTAATTTAATAAGTTCAACTAAATTGTTTTGAAGGTAGTTGGAAGGATTTATCTACATTACAAGAGCTTAGCATAACCATCCATTCTCATCAGCGTTTGTATCAGTCAGGGTAGCTGTAAGCAGCACATACAACAGTATTCAATGTGCCCGATGTTCAATGTATCCTGCTGTTGTCAAGACAACTGCTGTAGGAAAAACTTGCAGCTCAGGAAGTTGGCAACAGGGATCCTGTGAGCATGGCTCTCCTTTTCAGTGCAAGTCAGGCAACTGAGGTTAATGTGTCCCTTAAAGGCTGTATGCATTTAGGAGACTGACTTTGCGCTCAAGTAAATACAGTACACACAATACAACTGATTGTTTGAGGTGAACTCTGGGAATTATCTTGGTAAAGGGTGATAGCATCTGAAACTGCCACATCTGCTTCTACTCTGATCCTCTGACCATGAATTAAAACTCTCCGACATGACACTGAAGCAAGACATTGCCTATCTGGGTCCATAACAACAGAAGAGAAATTCACCTCTCTGGCACTGCTTCACAATAATCTGGATCAAAGACGTAATAAATTTCTATAGACACAAAACTAGCTAAGTATCAGAATGCATCTTGAACACACTTGGTTGAATTTTAGATTTTCTCATCTTTAAAAGCATGTCTCTCAAGAAAAAAGAGCTTATAACCTCTTCTCCAGAAATTCACTTCCTGCATTTCTCTGTTAAAAAGTAATTCTACCTCCTGAAAGTACAACAGTCTACAGTGGTATTCTTGAATAGACCTCCATGTAACAAGCCCTCAAACCCAAGTCAAATACAGTGACTTAGGATTTCATCTTCATACAAATAAATTGTCATTATTAATTACTCTCTAACCAAAAAGTAGCCTGCAAGAAGCAACCAAAGTCTGTACCCATGTTAAAACAGATTCCTTTACGCTGGATAAACCCCAAGGCTCCGCTCAAACATACATGCAGAAGCTGTTTACGGGAGGTTTTTTTTTGTTTGGTTGGGTTGTTTTTTCTTTTTTTCCTTAAAGAACAGGGAACTAGAAATACATTGAACTGTATTTTGGATGTTACTACGTCTGATTTGGACATTCAGTAACGTAACTAAACATTAAAGTGTAAGCAAGCAAGAGGACAACAGTTCAGTTTACAGACTGTATATTATTAAGTTTGATATAACTTGAAAAAACCAAGACACAAACTCACATTATCCATCTGTTTCCAGCACATGTCCAAATATTGCTGAGCCTTTCGCCCTTCCTGAAGATGCTGGAAACACCACAAATAACTTTAATTTACATATCTTTTCAGTACTATTACCATTAGTTAGGCCCTGCTTGAGTTGACACACTGTGATGTGCAGTATCTCCCACAGGTTACCAGTGTTCTTTGGAAGACATTACTAACCATGTAAGAACACTACCATAGATTAAAATTATACCGGCAAAAATATTACTAGTAAGCACCATCTCCCAAGATCTTAATTTTTAGGTTTAATAACTGTAGTAAACCGGTACATAAAAATACCGAAATGTGTTATATAAATGTGTTATATAAATGTACTACAAAACATACTTATTGCCAAATTCATTAAATTGGATAAACAAAGACATCAATTCATTAAAAGACATATCCATTTTGATATTCTATTAATCAAATCAAAATATAGAACTTACCATTTTTCTCTCAGTTTTTAGATCATGAGAGTATCTCATCAATTCTCCATATACTCTGTGTCCCATTTCTTCTGCAACTACTTCTCGTTGTCCTGCATAGTCATTCAACTCATTAAGGATGTTAAAAAAGGCAATGCATGAAGTAAACCTGACAAAAAGCACACACACACACAAATACACATATATGAAAAAAGTGAGACAGTTTTTTTAAATGGACTTCTTTTAGTATAGTCTGTACTCCTGATTACATTTTTTAAAAATCGTATGTATTTTACAATAGACCTTATCTTAATGCTAATTGAATTACAGGAATGCAAGCTGGGAAAGCCTACAATAAGCCTAGCATGGACTATATGTTGCAATGTCTCTTCAAATACATTTTATAAGAACACAGATTTTTGTGGACGGAAAAGAAAGAAGAATACTACCTGCAAAGCCCTGTAGCATAGTGGTATCTCCTAAGCTGCCAACTGAGAGGCCTGAGCTTGGGAACGGATACATATGTCCCTAGGCTCGGAGGCTGAACTTGTTGCAGAGATGATGTGCTTGGTAGTCTTGAGGGTGGAACATGCCAATCATACCACTCATATGCATCCCGATGGATGATCTACAGAACAAGTTTGCTATCAGCTCTGGAGACAGCTGCCTGTTTGCCTGCCCACCTCTTGGCTGGAAGTAAGGTGCCACTATGGCTGGCACTAAAAAGGGGGAAGAGGAGGGGCAAAGGGTAGAAAGTGTGTGTGGAAGGGAAGAAAGAAAAAAAAACAACAGGCACCACATTAAAATATACATCTTTCTCTCTTTTAACGACGGAATACTGCCATCTCCATAGGCTTGGCTCTGGGGAATTCAAACACCACTCTAGCACTAGAAATCCCATTCCCTATGGTCCAGGATCTTTAAACAGTCAAAAAAGCTAGAGGAAACCCTAGTGTGGATTCTCAGGCACTTTGTGCACAGCATGTGCTCTGGTTGCAACTTGAAACTTAGCCCACTTTCTTTCCTTCATTAAGAGTTATCCTTAAAGAAAAAGAATACTGTGTTTTTCTAAATAAATTAAAAAACAGCTATGGACATGGACAGCAAAATAAGGACCTCTCTGATAAATAATCATAAAGTTGTTTTAGCACAGATTGCTCCTCCACAGTCAGACATTCACTTACGTCTCCAGAGTCAAAATCAGCAGTTTAAGACCTCTTCTTGCCAAAAACATGACAATTTTGTGTACACTCAAGTCTCAGTACACAAATGAATAGCTACATTTGTATTGCCATACAAATGCACTGAAAAACTCTACTAAACTAAGCAAAAAAACACAGCCTAAAGACAAGTAACTTTTTTTCTATTGAAAAGAATACTAGAACGTACATAGCATACTAAACTGCTTTCAAACTTTCAGATAGCTAAGCATTAATTTGCAACAGAGCAAGTACAAACTGCCATGTTTAGTACTTTACTAATGAAAGAGAAGCAAACTGAGGTTTCACACTTAAGAATTACAAGAAGCCAAGCAGAATTTTTTTTTTGCTTAGACAATTAAATGCTTTATCTTAAAAAAAAAAAAAAAAGCCATAAAAGGACAGAGTATACAGTAGTCTTTGTTTCTTACACATCAAACTTGAAATGCACATTTTTACCTGGGTTCCTCATCTTTGGGTGAACGTTTAGGACAGTACTTCTTAACCAGATTTCTATTAAGGAAGAAGGAAAAAAAGGTGTTATTTCAGAGTCTCTTTTGAGTAGAGAAGACATACACATAGAAAACTGCATGAACAAATTATTTCTTTTTAACGACTTAAAGGAACAAATCTATTCCCTCTATGATCTTAATAAGGGTCCTTTAGATAATACAAGGCAGAAATCTATGACATTTCCAAAGTTTTAAGTCACTTTGACCTAGAACAATGTATTTATCAGTATTTTCAAACCTCTATTGCACAGTGACTAGACATAAAATAACAAGTTTTTATTTAACATCCTTTTCACACATGTAAAATAAGGTAGCAGACAAGAAAAAAGCAAATATATGATCACTGTGTAACATACAGATAGCACATACTGTATGCTATACCTATGAGCACAAAACTCCATGCCTTAATTAAGCTTTGAGTGCACATTCAGGCTGAAGGTTTTAACCACAGTATCTCCAATTCTTCAATAAGGATTTTTCCAGAACAGAAGATGCAACATCTCTCTTCAGGAAAGATGTTACTTTTTGCCCTACCACCAGTTTTGTATATATCAGGTTTTCAGAAACCAATACAATCTCTAAAAGATGATCCCTGGGACCAGCACTTTACATGGTATCACAATCCAATTTCCAAGAACACTGATATGAACTCATTTGCTTATCATACAATGCAGAAACAGCACCTTAAGAAACATACAAACCACATCACCTACTCTACCCCAGAGCATAAATAACACAGGCATACACTGCTTACACAACAACAGCAAAATATTTGCAGTTACATATATTGCTACAAACATCCCAAATCCTGTGATGAACATGAAATGAAGCCACACAATTTTACAGTCAGGAAGGATAAGAGAGGGAGAAAGTGTCCAGTGATTTTTCAAATTCTTATCTTCCTGTACGTCAACCTTTGCATAAACCTCCAAGTACACATTTTTTCCAGCACAGCATTCTGCCTTGACTTACAATATAGTTTTTCTGACGGCAATGAGGTCTTTTAAAATTCTTGAAATTCAAAAGGATGCACGTTGTCCGTCTTGGAAAAAAATCTTTTCCTTCTCATTTTTAGTAGCTGCATGTTCATGCCTTCAATTGGTCATGTTTTTTATTCTAGCAATTTTCAAAATGGTTACATTTTTCCATGAAACAGAAAAATTGAAATTATCATTCTACTACAGTTCTTTTCCTTTCCCTATGGAAGTTTGTAATTTTACAGCAAATAAAGAATTCTTTTTTTTGTATGAAAAGAAAACAGGTAAGACATAGGATTTTTCTCAAACTGCTAACCCTCAACCTCTGTCCTTTCTGAGGTTAAGGAACAGAAACACCTCCAGTGCTGTGTACTATTAAAGGCAGCAAACAGTATTTTAAAAGAGATCTACTACTCAAATTAAACAGACTGATATTTAAATACCAACATTCACCCTCCCAAAAATTACTGTATTGTCAAAACATTAGAACCACTTCATCAAAATCTTGCTAGTAATGTTTAAACTGTGGACCAGACTGCCTGTTATGATATCTTTCATTTAAACTATTGAAGTAAAATTTTTAAGTGTGAATTAACATCTCAGCAGAAAATAATGCATCTCAATTATTTGCTTTACAACCCACAAACAGAAGCGACACAATATTGGCAATTCTTTTACCCATACATCTCTAAATAATCATATCTTCCATTTAAGAACAAAAAATCCCAAAGAACAAAACAAGTGCACACAACCGAATCATTTTGTCCAAGAGACGGAGTGTTTGCCTTGAGCTTGTCATGGAAACTTCTCAAAGTGCTTGAGGTGGACCTGGATTATGCAAGGTATGAAAAATATTGCATTCAGAACTTCTGTATTCCATAAAGGGATATTTCTAAGTAAACTATTTTACATATCCACTCAAAGAAGAAATTAAGTATAAAACAATGCAAACCTTGCAGAGTTGCTTTTACAGCTGTCTTTTTTTGAATTCTTCCATCTGTTTGTCCAGTGGTAATTGAGACAATTGGCTACTGACTTTTTAGACTAATAATTAATACAGCCCAAAACAATTTTCCCAAAAGCAAAGTGGACTACAATAAAGCAATCTACACCCCCAACACTACAGAAAAGGAGAGGAGGAGTAAGAGAAGATTCTACCAAAATATT